TTCCTAAAACAATTATATCGTCTAAGTAGACAAGACATGTTTTCCATGTGAAGCCTCGTTATTACGTTACGCATTCCGTTAGTCGTTCAAACATAGCTGGAGCATTGCACAGTCCAAACTGCATTACAGCGAATTGCCACAAGCCTGATCTGATTGAAAATGCTATTTATTCACGGTCAACTTGCCAATATCCGCAAGTCTAGCGTGAAGAACCAGTGTGAACCGGACAGCGTGTCTATGATGTCATCTATTCTCGGTAGTGGATAACTATCTTTTTTTGTCATTTCATTAAGCTTTTGTAGTTAACACAAAAGCGGGTGCTGCCATCTTTTTTTTCATTACTAGGACAACTGGCGAGGTCAAAGGACTAGTTGACGGTTCGATGACACTTTGGTTCAGCATCTCGTTTACCCTTTCTTGTTTTGCTATTGGAAAACTGCGTGGTACATGTCTGATTAGCTTCGTGTCCTAAGTATGGGTAAAAAGGCCCGTTTTTTCTTGATTATCGTCTCCAGTTAAAAATACATCTGCAAAATCCGCTATCAAATTTTTGGCTTTTGAATGATCTCCCTGTCACCTGATAGACAAGAATATCCAAGAATATTTTTATTGACTATTATTTTAGATTGGGCAACAGATTGGATCTTAAAATTGACCTCGTTGCTCCGGTGTCGATTGTAATCGAACATTCTTGTGAATCAACTTTGCCGTCTAACCAAAGTTCGTATTAATTTCGATGCAGCAGTCTAGAAACCTTAATTAGGGTACTGGGGCGTCAATTCTACCAGCCAACTTCTGCCCCGCAAATTTGGTTTTCAAATAATTTTCCGCCTTCTTGTTGCGGCAGTTGGTTGTGACGCCGGGTCACCCTCTAATCGTTTGTTCCCTGTTGCTGTACAATGACGACAGTAGTTGTTTCTAGGGCGTCGTTTACAGTCTCGTCGTAAATGTCCTCTTTTTCCACAATTCCAGCATTTTGGCACACTATAATCCTGACCCTTCTGTTTTAGAACTATCCTTTGACATAAACATTTTTCACGAATTTGGTGCTTGCTTTACTGATTCGAATTTAAGAAGACTGAATCTCGGACAGCCTTTGCAAACGTTTCCAGGGCAGTTTCTTCTTTGTGTTGTAGGTCTTACTTGAGGTATGACAGCAGAGTCAACTGCTCAATAACCTGTTTTATAAATGTTCTAATGGCGCTCGCATTGTCTTCGAGGTCATGTGGCTTATAAGTGTGGAGTTTATTTTCTTAGTTTCTTCCAGTTTAGTCCATCTTTTGATCAGATTTCTGTTCAATTTTGACGTGATGTTATCCATTCTTATCATCTGGTTTTCTATTTCGGCCGATTGTTGTTCAGTTTTGATATCTTTGCATTCTTTCAACTGTTCAATTTTGGAATCAGTTTGATCTCTTGTTTGTTTTATTTCTATTGTCTGTTTCTTTATTTTTTTTTGCATCATTTTCGTCTCTCTTTTGTTTTATTTCTGCTGATTTTGCTCAATTTTTGCATCAATCGTTGCCGACTGATGTTCAATTTTGGCATCAATTTGTTCTCTTATCTGTTTTATTCTTGTTTGTTTGTTGTAGGTAGTTGCTATCATATGAGTATAGCAAACAGTTAAATTTTTAGTCATTTGGAACAATATTTAATGGTCCCACATTGTTCGTGAATATTACTTAATAAAAAGCGCATATGTTATGCAATGTATACAAAACTTTTTATTTCACAAATGTAATTAAAGTCATACTTTAAATAAAGTTCAAACAGTTATTTCTCACATTTTAGCAAAAACAACATATTGTTACTCAAATAAAATCAAAATCTTTTATCAGTTCTAATTTTTTTTGTTGCTGATGCCGTAGACGCTATCATTCTACGGCGTGCTGCATGGCCATAAACTAAAGACGAAGCTCTAGCCACTTTCGATTCCTTGACTGTGACAAGGAAACATTGGGAGAGGAGATATTGAACCATCTTCAATTTTCTGTAATAGTTCTTCTGACGTCATGAACCGAATTACAGGAGGTGAAGTAACTAGTCGTACTCCAGTCGATCATGTCGTAATAGGTGCTTTGCCTGTTTGCGGTGCCACATGATCTACATAATTTTGACCGGGGTAGCCAATTAAAACATAATGATCCTCTTTATAAGTTCTCACAACCCTAAACCCTAAATGGTATTATTATACCCTAAAACATAGCAGTTTTACAAATAGTGAAGAAAAGGTTAAACTACGGTACTAAATTTAGAAATATGTCATCCATTCAACATCTAAGCTTGTAAAATTCTTTTCAGAAAGTCATAACTAATACCAAGCGTAAAATGAATAAAATTGTATAAAAATGTTAACATAGTGTGGGATCCCTAGAATATAAAATATATGGCTCAAATTTTACAAAAATACTTCCTAGCATAGTTAGCAACTTATATGTTCCATTTTTTGCCTAACGCAGAGTCAAATATCAGATATCGCTTTCTACACTAACAATCGCTTTCCAATATCAAACATTCAACAACCCATTCAATATCTTCTATGCCTTTATATACCCGTTTTACCAACGCTTCTCGAGCCTCCTAGATATCTCGCCGTCGATTAGTTCTTGTTCCTTCTCGAACTGTATGCGTTCGTAGCGACACTAGCCCTCTAGCGCAACAGTTTATGTTTGTCAGGTTGTTTCTACAAAATAACTTGCCGACGAAAAAAAAATTGAAATTTTCAACAACGATGGTCACCTATTTTCCACTTCTGACACCAATGTTACACCCCCTATCGTATTACTTCGACTAGGGGACGACGACGTGGTACAAGTCTGATGGACTTGAAAATGTTTACCAACATTTGGCCTGTTTCTCATCTGGGTTGTTAATGCCAGAACATATTTTTTTTATTTTACCTTTTTGCGGCTCTAATCCTTCAGCGTTCACTCGCTCGTTGTCTTAGTCATTTTTTGCATCAAAATTAAATTCCTCGGCATTTTTATCTTTTATTCGTAAGGGCTTCCGTATGGTTGTTCCTCTTCCAAAGCTCAATTTATAGAATTCATAAATTCAACTTTTGATACCATTGTTAGCTATAAAATTTTTTATTCAATTTCTACAGTTGCATATATGACAGACATACGAATTTAACGAAACGTAATAAACGTAACGAAATTAATCAAAATTTTTCAGTTTAAAGCACAGCTTAACATCTTTTGATTAAATTACACGATGTTTATTTTCAAAACTTTGTTGTACAAAAATCAATAACTTTTTACACTAATTCTTAACAAATTAAATTTACAGCTATTGGGTTTAAGTTTCGTTTGCGCTTTTGACAACAATTTTACTTTTTTGGTTTGTAAACATCTCATCTCTACTCATCTCTCCGTGCATCTCTTCATGATCAATGATGTATTTTATTCCACGTTGATCGTGAAAATGAGAAAATTAATAAAAAAAGATGTTTTCTCTGCAATATCATAATTTTCTATTTGTAGTGTTTATAATTTTTTTATTATCCATTTTGTTAAATGTGTAAAATTATGATTATATTTTGTTATTCAATTTTCAGAATGATGTTTTAGATTTGGAAAATAATGACGCTACTCGAGGATACTTTTCTTATGATATTTGTCATGATGTCACTGTCTTTGGGTAAATTTTTAGGCTTTTTTATATTTGTTCAAAATTTATGATTTATCTTTTAGCCAAGATTCCCAGCAATATGTTGTAGCTAATGAAGACGCAGAGCCTGAAATATTTGAAGATTATGAATTATTCGTGAGTGAAAATGAACCTCAGATGGATGCATATGCAGAAGAAGAATATGACAATTATCTCCAGCAACTGATAAATAAATAATGTATTATTATTATCTTTAATAATATTAGTGTTCATAGACAATAGACAAAAATATAAAATTTCTTAAATTTACTAATTTTTATTGGGTTTTGACTTTTGTGTGTTTAACTTTTACTTGATTTGTTAAATTGATTAGATTTTGTCAAATATGTTTTATTCCCAAATTATTATTATTATTAATTATTATTGGTTCAGGACAATTTCATGGCATTCTGCCAGAGTGAATTGAATTTCGGCAATTGTTAAACAAATAAAGGCGGTTGCGTTGGCAAAGAATGTTGAAACGTTTTAAAGTTTTAATATTAATATATCATTTATTACAACACCCGTTGCATTTGCTTGAAAACATTTGCAAAAACAGATGTTTCAAATGCTCGATCGAATCTGACGATTGTAAAAAATATAATGACTGATATACAGCGGTAAACACTAACTTAAAACTTATTACAACACTGACAGTTTAGCTGTTGTTAATCCAGATGTGTTGCTCGATTTGTTAATTCAAAATGTTTGTATCGGTGATGATATCAAATTTACGACTGCCTGTAAAAAATACTGCAGGTGTTTTAGTGTTGTCGTTAAAGGTGAACGTTTGATTTGCGTGTCGGAGCAATCTCGTGATATTTCAGGAATCTGAAGTGTTTTGCTTGTGAAATTGGGGAGTGATGTCCTTCCAAGCTAAGAACATAATGGTGTTTTTCAGTTTTTGCATTTTTGTAGAACAATTCGACTTCGTGTCATGTTAACGCAATTTAGACATCAAATGAATTTGTAATCCAGAATCTTTGTGTAGTTTGGCTGGCATCATAGTAGAAAGACAATTTTGTGTTTTCAAAAGGACTCTCTTCTCTCTTAGACAGAACTGTGTTGGCCAAATATTCAAGGAAAAAAACGCGAGGAAGTTCTCGACAGGAAGATGGTCTTTTAGAGACACATCGATATGTGATGAGAGTAAGTTGACACAAATCGAGAAATTTTTAGTGGGCTGGATTTTGCTGGCAGAAAACATCTTTTTGTTAAAGTTATAAATTTTTTCGCAAATTGTTTAATCTACTTGACCTCGTCCTTTATTTCCAGCATGCTTCTTCAAAATAGATTGAATTTTGCCTGAAAACTTAACGCCATTTGAAGTTTACCCAATAATTTCATTTTCACGTCTGAAAGGCAAATCCCATTCTGCCAAGAAGCACTGCAGCCACATCTCTCCAATATCGACGCTCGGTTTCATACTTTTGCAATTCTTCTTTTTTTTTGTGCCTTATCTTTTTAGGACATTGGCGACCATCGACCTCCACAGAAACCCGATCTTTAACTCTTTGTAGTAGTTGAAATGTGGTGATATTCACAAGTTGATTGAATATCAACATTACCAGATCCTACGTTTGCGATGTCTATGGTTTACTCGACATCGTTTTCAATCTCTAAATTTTCCGTTATGAACTGAAGTTTTTGCTCATTTTCCTTCAATAAAACAATAATTAATTTTTTCTGACAACGTTTTAAAAATTTGCAAAAGTTTTCGTTGCTTTATTACAGTTCGTTTTATAATTTATAATGAATTCAACAAATTTTCGTCATCGTCGTCATAGTAACCGATTTTAATTTCAAATTTTAATTTAAATTTTACTTTATTTGTAGCTAATTTCAATTTTTTCAATTAAGTTTCCAGTTTTCTGGTTTTTTTATCCACTCGTTACTAGTTATTGCTCAAATCCTCAATCGAATGATCCAATACACACGCCAACAACTGCTTGATTTTGCTACCGGACAAATTCGCCATCAAAAGATTGCTAAAAAAAACTCTTCCTCAACAAAATTTGGAACACAAATCATCACCAACATCAACACCTCTCATCTTCTTCAATGGCAACAGCACTTTACAACAACTTCAACATCAACACCAACATCAACACCTCTCATCTTCTTCAATGGCAACAGCACTTTACAACAACTTCAACATCAACACCCCCAGCCCATCTACCTAGCACTAATTCATCGTCAGAAGCATCCACACCAGTCGACGCTTCTCACCTAATCATCACAAATCTTATCAACATCAAATTCACCCCGACTTACAACCCAGCCAAAATCCACCCACCATCTACATTTTGAATTTTTTGAGAGCATTTGAGATGTGATGTGTATCATCTACACTATGACATCATCACCGAGTCGTGGTCATCATCACCATGACATCATCATCACCGAGTCATGGCTTAGGCCAGATCACCCTGTTGGTTTGATCGCAATAGATGGCTACACACCCTTCAAAAAAGACCGCCCTGGCAGGTCGCGTTGTTATCTATTTGAAGTCATCCATCTCAAATTCGCCTCTTGATGTCAATTATGCACTGGAAACCCTTTGTCTCAAGTGCATTATTGACACTGAACCATAATTCATCTGTGCCATTTATCATCCACCAAACCATCCATCGTACGAGGTCTCCACCTAGATTGGTTACATCGATGAACTCTCTAACACTGCGTTGTGGAGCGACACAAAACTCATCATTGGGAGTGGCTTCAATTAACTCGACCATCATTCCATCCTACAAACAGGTCTGCATCCTATATTTTGGGGTCCCACCCACCAAGGTCACAACCTTGACAGAATATATGGGATTAATGTAAACCTGGACACCACTCACACTTATAGGTCACACGTTTCAACACATCATCTTGATGTCTCTCACAAGTTTCGTAGTCTAGGCTTTATCTTTGATTCTAGTATGTCTCTTTCTTCTCAGAAAGCTAGCTCTAATTTTCATCTACGTAGAATAAAAAAACTTTTGCCTTTTCTTGTTACTTCGTTAGTCTTATCTAGGATTGATTATTGTAACTCGCTCTATTATGGTCTTCCTGATTCTATACTCTATCCTTTAAGTAAAGCTTTTAACTCTGCTGCTCGTTTTGTTGCTCATGCCCCTTTCTTTTCTCATATATCTCCATATCTTGTTCTCTTGCACTGGCTACCTATAAAATATAGAATAATTTTTAAAATTTGCACGTTTATGTATAAGTTTCAAACTAAATTATTTCCTAAGTACTTATCAGATATATTAATTGAACCTAAACGATCGTCTTCTTGTTCTCCCTTTTCTTAACACGTGTTAAACACTCCTTTGCCAAATCTGCTTTTGCTTTTTATGACCCTTTTTTCTGGAACTCTCTACCTACTTCTCTGACTATATCTCCATCACTTACGAAGTTCAGAGCGGATCTCAAGACCCATCTGTTTTCAAAATTCATTGAGGAGCGCTGTTGAACATCGCAGAAATAGCGCTTTACAAGCTAATTGATAGATTGATTGAACTTAATCATCAACACAACTAGTTTTTTTTTTATTTATCGATCACTAAGTCATCAATCTATTAATTTGCGTTTTTTTCATGCCATTACTTCGTTTTATTGTCAATTTTTTTATTTTATTCTTTTTATTTTATTATTATCATTTATTATTTATTTTATTCTGTTTCATTTTTCATATTAAAGCATTTTTTTCACTGTTTTTTATTTATTTATTTACTCATTTGTTTAATTTTGTACCGCTGTATTTCTGTGTATTTCCTTGGAACAATACTGTTGATTACAATACATTCGTACAGATCCTGAAAAGTCTAAATGTCCATAAGAAAAGGCCCCCTTTTTGAAAAAAGGCCCTTGCATTAATCCAGCACTGGTGCCTTGTAAAAAGTTTTGTGCAGTTGAATGGAAAAAAGAGTATTATTTTAATGCAAAAAATGACTAATGCAATGAGGTAGAAGATTTGTAAATATAAATTATATAATATTGCGACTAACGTTGGTAAATTAATAATAAAATATTGTGTGCGTGTTAATAAGATAAATTAGGGTAAAAAATAAATAAAATAATAATTTTAATGATTATTGTAATGAGGCAGTTGGTGTTTAATATTGTGAAGGATGTGGCATTTGCATTTTGCTGCAATAACAAATAAGTTTAAAATTTTTTTCTTTAATTTTTATTAAAATTCCCTGCTGCATTTTCGCCAGAAAATTCAAACACATGACTCACGTCTAGTCCATTTCTTTCCAATAATTAAACCAAATTACTCGTTATCGCTTCACCGCTTTCTAACAAACTATGCTTAATGCCTTCAACTTTTGAAAATATTAAACTTTTACCGGATACAGTTTAATATTTCATTTGCTAAACGAATAATGCTATAGAGAAGTATAACGATTCGGGAGTGACAACAGTTGTTTATGCGGAAAAGGAGCAATGACATTTTCAACTTTTGTTCTTCCACAAGCAATCTTTTTTGCGATAATGCATTCTGTAAAAAAAAGTTGCAAACATCTTGTTCCCGCAATCTTGGCTATCTGTGATGATCTTAACTGTGATGATGTTTTACACGATCTGTGATGATGTTGTGATGGTGTTTTACACGTAACGAGATCATCATCTCTTATATTTAATTTTCGAAAAAAAAAAACCTGTCATTATCGGATTTTTTCTTGTTTTGCTTAAATTTTTTTACTTTTTTCGGATGCTACATGAGCTAATATTGATCTATGCCTATAAACGTTTGTCGGCATATTTTGCATTCCGCATCATATCTCGAATTCCTAATCAACTAGTCTTTTAAACTCTGACTATTTTCAGTAAAATGTAGATATTGCTTTGGCTCAGTGATGAAGTTATTTTAAATGTTTTTGAATAAAATACATGCAAATAGTCATGGCCTGGAAGATTCACCGGTTACAGGAATGACACGACTAACGACAGATTATTCTAAAACGTAGATAACTGATATGGATAATTTTGTAACAAAACAGAAATAAAATAGAACAAGGATAAAACATTTATTCTTCGCCACTTAAATTTATTTATTTGTATTGGTAAACGAAAAAGACGTTTTATCACTGTTCTGTTTTATTCTTTTTTGTTTTTTGCACTGTTTTATCACAGAACAGATAGATTGTGACATCAAAGTTTAAATTTCAGTTTTTTAAAGCCATGAACCCGAGTTTTGTAATGATTTATGAACTCAAGTTTAAAACACCGACCGAACGCGAGCGTCGTAAGTCCTTAATTTAAGGTGTTACATCTAAAAATATTTCTTGTAAAATATACTTATTGAATTCATATAGCACCACTTTATTAACTTGAAAAAGCGCTGGCCAAGTAAACATGGCAAACCGTTATAATGGCAAAAAATAGCATATAATCATTTGAAAAAAAACACCTCAAATATAAGATAAAAATGCTGTGTTTGCCAAAAATGGAGTTTGGTTTGCCAAAAATGTAAGTCATTGAATCGATAAGTCAGTTTAGTGGGCAGCCAAAAGCATTTCGGCCGGGGCCCAAAAAGGTCTTAATCCGGCAATGTATATTTATTAAGTTGACTGCATTCTTTTTCCTTTTGCCCATTTTCTAATTTGATACTTACATAGTTGTTTTTATTTGTTTCAAAATTCCTCAGATCATTTAGTCTTATTTCTCATTATTTTCTTTCATTTTATTAATGTGTGTGTTAGTATGTATGGTTGGTATATGTATATATAATATATATATAATAGATATATATATATGTAAGTGTAGGTATATATATATATATCTGTATGTATGTTCATATATATATATATATATAACAAATATATAAAGTCATGTAGTCGTTATTTATTTTATTAAAGTTAGAATTTCTAACTGCCTGACGATGAAATTTATATTTCGATGTTTTGAAAGGTTGCGTTATTATTTTTAGTTTTTTTTATTTATTAAAGATTTTTAAAAAAAATCTTGGTACTTTAATGTTTAATTAAAATGATAAGTAAGAACATTAATAATAATATTTCAATTGCATTAATAAAATTTGTATAAATGAAGATTATATAAAATGAAGATATAAATTTGTTACCATACATATATTACCAGTAACAATATATATATATATATATGCTTTGTCGATTTGAATCTACAAGTACGTAAGTTTATAAAAAGTAAGAATTTCCGGTCGGCCAGTACGAGTACGTAAAGTACGCCATCTCTCACCGGTGAAGCTGTTGTTCCAGTTTGGTTGTCATTGGTCATGTTTCTGCACCATATAACAACACCGGACGTATCACAGACGTGGCTGTTAAAACGATATCATCAGCATATATTAGATTCCAAATGTCACCAGTGCGTATCGGTTTTGTGATTTCTTCCATCACAGTTATAAATAACAGTGGATTGAGAATCGAGCCTTGGTGAACTCCAACGCCAATGTCAAATGCATCTGTGTTTTCAACTATTGTGCTGACGAGAGTCTTAGTATTCGTACACATTTCCATCACAAGTCGAACAAGATATTCTGGAATGAGTGGTCGACGTAGACTCCAACTCCACCTGATTGCTTCACGGGGAACTCGATCAAATGCTTTTTCAAGGTCTACAAAAATGTGTGATAGTTGTTAACGGTTTGCGAGGTACTTCTCTTGCAGTTGCTGAAGGATTTGAATTGCATCAATTGTTGATTTCCCTGCAAAAACACCAAATTGATAATTTCCGATTGTGATGCACTAGGTTAATCTTCTCTCAATGATTTTCTCGACAATTTTCAAGAAGTGTTCTAACAGACGTATAACCCAATATGATGAACAGTACAATGGATCACCTTTGCCTTTGTATAGTGGGACTGTCATGCTATAGTTCCATTCAGTCGGCATTGAGCAATTTCTCCAGATTTCACGGCAAAGTTGTAGTAACATTTGGATACCTGCAGTACCAGATGCTTTGATAATGCCATTTGTAAGTCTAGAGGGCCCTACTGCCTTTCCATCCTTCGTAGCTTTCAGAGCTCCTGTAAGCTTCTCTACAGTGATGTCTGGAATCGGACCTTCGATGGGTGGAGCGTCAAAGTCGACATTGATGAGATGGTTGAAATATTCTTTCTACTGTAGTTTGATCTCATCTTGTTCAAGAATCATCTCATTTTTGTCGTTTTTGATACATGAGGCACCAACCATGTCTTTTTTCGTACGCTTTGCTTGTTTTGCTATACGATACAGAGATTTGTTCACCTTTGCTTTTAGTGAGCCACTCTCTGCACTGATCTGTCCGATCCAGTGCGACTTGACGTCTTCTCACGGAAAATTTTGTGGCCATCAACAGACTTTGATTTTGCCATTGCTTGTATGCAGCTTTCTTTTCAGCCATTGCATTTTGTACACTGTCATTCCACCACCACGTGTCCCGTTCGTGCTGGCGTTTTGTACCAGTTTTGTACCGTTTATCAAAACGGTTTTGTTTGTACTCCACTCTGTACTGGGTTGCGATTGGTGGTTTAACTGTGTGGCGACAATCTGTTGAAATTTTTCTCGATGAATATTGCTTTTCAGCTTCCACGTTTTGATCTTCCGAGGCATTTGTTTAGACTTATGTTTTGACAGTTTGACAACCAGGTCTGCCACAAGGAGTCCTATGTTGGCGCCAGGTATAACTTTGACATTTTTGAATAGTCTTTGGTGTTGTTGCTTGACAGCGAAGAAATCAATTTACGTAGCTGATAGTCCACTTTCGTATGTTATGAGTTGTTTCAACCTCTTTTTAAAATATGTGTTCAGTAAACAAAATCTTCATTTTGTTCTCCATAGCCAAAACCGCCATGTAGGTTGTCAAAACTATTTGTTTTCTCTCCAACGTGGCCATTGAGATCGCCTCCAATCAGGATTGTATCAGATTTTGGTATTGTTGCGATGCTGTCAGAGAACGCAGCCCAGAAGTCATTTATCATCTTTTCTGATTCGCCTGTCTGTGGTGCGTATGCGGAAAAAATAGTCATTGTTTGCTTTTCTAGGCGAATCTTGATTCACATGAGACGTGAGTTAATTTTTTTAATATCCAGTACTTCTTGGGCTTGCGGTTCTTTGACAAAAATTCCAACACCATTTTTGGCCGTCTTTTGACCATTCCAGATTAGTTTATATTTTTCTTTGTCTGAATTGATATGACAGATACCATTCGATTTCCATCGAGTCTCCTGAAGGCAGCAGATGTCAATCCTTCTACAATCCAGCATTTCTGCGATTTCCATGCTGCGGCCAGTCAGTGATCCATAAATTTTTCATAAATTATTAGAGGATTTCATAAATTACCACATATATATATATATATGTATATATATATATATATATATGTGTGTGTGTATACCACATATATATATATACATATATATATATATATATATATATATATATATATATTTATGTGTGTGTGTGTGTGTGTGAATTTTTGTATGCGGAATACCAACGCCCCGCGGAATTTTTACTCTGTTCGAATACCAACCATCGCCGCCGCCAGCCTAGGCAGTCTCGCTTTTGGCCGAGACTCGCCTCCTCACAAACGTTTATCTCCGGGTAGGTTAAAACGGGCCGGGCGGAAGTGCTTTCGCGCCCTGCTTTTAAGTCGGTCAACCCGGCCTTTCTAACCGCTGACAAGTGTTTTTCATACATGTTTTATATGTTGTACAAGACAAACAGAAACTAACTGAAATAAATTTATTATAAACAAAAACGAAAATAAACTTACTCTGCAAAATAAAGGTTTTTCAAATGTTTCAAACTAAATAATGAACTAAATTAAAACAGCAATAGAACACAGTAACTAAATACAGAAACACAAACCCGCAGAACAATATCACCAATTACCAAAATGACCAAAACCTAATACGCTAGGAACCGAACTATCTTCAAAAACTACATCAAAAACTCATAACATGTACCAACAACTAACTCAAAAACTAAGTTCGAAAACCTCTGAAAAACTAACTAAAACGATTGACCCAAAATACTTATATAATCATTCACATGAGCACTCATACACTCTCAAATATACTCTCTATACTCTCGCCATACTATTTGCATAAAACCCATTCACATAACATTCCTTCCACTAGCATGCATACAAAACCAGTACATACAACGTTTTACCGGCATGCATACTAGACCACTCCACACAACAAGCGCGCCAAACCCAATTGCGCCAAATCAGACGTATAAAAATTACCTGACAAATGATTGCTTAATTTCATTGATGCACAGTTTCATTTGTGGAAGAATAGATTACTGCAGTTCAATCCTCTATGGTACAAGCCTTAATTTCAAAACTGCATACAGTCTATTCTGAACACTGCAGCAAGAATAATTGCTGGTGTAACAAAATATAAATCTGTTTCATCATATATGCGAAATGAGCTTCACTGGTTGCCAGTTTGTTATAGAATCGAATTCAGAATAGCAATGTTTACAAGAGACTGTTTGATGGGGCTTGGTCCTCGATACCTTCAACAGCTGATCGTGCCTGTCCCTACGGCTGCCGGGGGGCGAAAACTCAGATCCTCTGCCAAAAAGAAACTCGTTGTTCCTAGGTTCAGGACAGAAAATTATGGACGGCGTCGTTTCTCCGTGGCTGCAACGAAGGTTTGGAATAAACTGCCCGATGATGTCGTTGATAGTATGGATGAAAGAGACATGTTCCGAAAACGACTTAAACATCACTTTTTTGACCGGCAGCTTCTCGAACAGCGCCTCTGAGTTTTACATAGAGGGGCGCTATATAAATTCTCCATACCATACCATACTATATATATATATATATATATATATATATATATATATATGTATATATATATGTTGGTAATAGACAATAATTTTTACAATATTCCATAAATTATACCGAATGTTTGGCGTTAACATGTTTGTAGTTCGTTTTTTCGATTTTTCTCGCTAAAGTTTATTTAAAATTAGTTTAGTTTAGTTTATTAAAATTCAAAATATTTTAAAAAACTTTTCAACTATACACTAACAATTTTATTCATAATTTTTCTTTTAAATTTATTCGTTTATTTTCAACAATATAATGAGTTAATTTTTAAAATATAGGTTATTCATTTATTTATTCATTTTAATATCTAATATTCTATTTTCTATTTCTTATAATTTATATTATTAACTCCTCATTTGGTTTTACAATCTAGGCTCCGACGATAGCATTAGCCGAAACGGCCGTCAGCCAAACTTCACAGTTTAATAAAGTTGAAACAAAACAGCTTCGTGTTGTTGAAATTTTATTTAAAAAACTTCTAACTGCAAAATGGGGTGTAATCTTCAACCGAACATGTTTATCTGAGAACCTCATACCAAATTATATATATATATATATATATATAGTTTGGATATATATATATATATATTATCATTCATATCGCTCGTCGGTAGCACGTGCTGGCCGCATTTTGATTTGCTCCGTATTTTTTCTTAATTTCATAGTTTAAAATCGAGTATTTTGTTTAAATTTAATTTCATTTGATAGAGAAAATTTTGACGAATTTAATGATATAAATTGTTTGCGTTAATTGTTTGAAGTTAATTTTTTCTCAATTGATTTAAGTTAAGTTGATTTAATTGTAAGTTCTTGTTTAATCGACAAGAGAAGGAATTTAATTTTGTTAACGTTATAGGATAACCTGTATTGTTTTATCAGACTATCAGATATAGTGACATATTTTACTGTTGAATATGTCGAAAGATAAATGCCACAAATGCAAAGTTAATATCAAAGAAAGTAACAAAGAGTTAATTTGTTGTGGCATATGTTGTGACGGCTACTACATCAGATGTATTCCGACCGATGCTCAAGTCTTGACAGCAGTAGTATCCGATCCAAATTTATTTTGGCTCAGCAATAGCTGCGTTAAAGACATTAAAGAAGGTTTTAAAAAGATTTGTGATCTGCAAAAATCCCAAAATGTAACCAAGATAAGCTTACTGATGACAAAGTTCTTTTCGTCGTGAGTTGGCTTCAATTGACGCAAAGTTAAGCGAAATGGCCAACAAAATTGATGAATTTGATAAGTCGGTAACAAATGTAAACACGCAGATTAAAGATGTTGAAGGGGGTTTGAAAAAGAATTGGACTGAAGTTGTAAAGGGAACCATCAAAGAAGTTAAATCGACTACGGTGGCTCTGAACAATGTCGTCAAATCAATTAAAAACAACGTCGAAACAATAAACCGTGAGTGCAATGTTGTGTTATTTAGGCTCAGTGAAGCTGAAACTAACTCTGCTGATGCTCACAATGATGATAAAAAAATTGTTACGAATTTGCTTTCAGTCATTACAAATGATGAAATCAAGGAAAGTGATATTAAGAAAATGTACAGAATTGGCAAAAAAGGAGACAACCCACGTCCGATAATGATTGAGTTTAAAGAAAAGTCTATGAAAAACATGACAATGGAAAATCGTGTGAGGATGAAACAATTGAGTGATGAATTAAAAAATGTCAGCATAAGCCATGACTTCACTAAAGAACAGCGTGAGAAATGTAAAAAACTGGTTACTTTTGTAAAAAACAAAAGATAAACAGAAACAGGGGGAATTTTTGTACAGGGTGAGGGTCAAATTTGAGAATAATAAAAATACAAAAATATTCAATAAAAAACTAAAGCATACTAGCTTTGATTGTGCGTCCATGGTTTTCAACTCTTCTGGTAATGTCAATAAAATTAAGATGGGTCTGTTAAACATTAGATATTTGGGTCTAAATGTTGATGATGTTCATGGGCTGCTGAATGATGACTTTGATGTTTTGATGCTTACAGAAACTTGGCATAAATCATCTGATAATATTTGTCTTAGTTTGGCAAAACCACGTGATTTTAGTTTTTCGGAACAAGTTAGGCTAAATGATCCTGAGCATGGTGGTTTGGTAACGTATTTCAGAAACCACTTTAAATGTGTAAAAATTCCATTGCCAGTGATAATTACATTTGAAGCGATATGTTTTAAATTGACGTTACGGAAAACTTCAGTAATTTTTTTGGTGATTTATAGGCCAGGTTCTGCTCCTCCTGCTAAATTGTTTTTTGAAGAATTAATTTTAGTTTTAGAACAAATCACACTTTTATGTTGCAGTATTGTAGTTGCAGGTGACTTCAACATACACGTAGAAACTTCGTCAGATATATATGCAACAGCCCTTGCTGATATTTTCTCTAGTTTTGATCTTGTCAATAGAATTAATCAGTCTACCCATGTGCTTGGTGGTACCCTGGATTTGATTGTTACATCGGATGGTTTTTTGTTAGAAGATGGTATCTATTCTGTATCTGGTATCTATTCAGATCATGGTTTAGTAACTGGTCAATTTTTAATCAATCCGACTCCAGTCATTTTCAAGAAATCGTGGATCAGATCCTGGAAACGAGTGGATAAAAAACGTCTGACTGAGCTTTTGAGGTGCTCACCTATCTCGAAACATTATGGTCAGGATGATGATGTCGAATTGGATTTTAAAATATTCAATGAAGAGCTTTTAAAAATTGCTGACGATGTTGCTCCACTTCATGAAGTTCGATGGAAACATGTCCCGACTGCCCCATGGTTTGACAGTGACTGCAAGAAGGCTAAGCAAATGTGTCGAAAAAAGAAAGAAGGTTCAGAACTACTGGTTGTTATAATGATAAAGTTGATTGGGTACTGGCAATGAAACAAAAGAATGTTTGTTACTCAGTGAAACGAAGGAGTTTTTGGTTCGCGAAAACATGTCAATTTAAAAATAATTCCAAATACTTATGGCAAACGATTAATAAATTATTAGGAAAAGAGACAAGTGTTGAAAATAAAGTTGGTTCAATGCATAGCACTGATGATTTTTAAAAATTTTTTGCTGACAAGTTGAAAGTGACCGAAAAGTCAACTGAATGTTTTAATTTTCCAGTTATTTCTACTAATACTAATATTATGTTTCCACTCGAATCGTTTCCAGTGCTGACTGAAGAACAGATATCTAAAGGTGTTAATTCGTCACCTACGAAGTCATGCTCACTCGACCCAATACCGACGCATGTATTCAAATAATATGCTGACTGTTTTATTGTTTACTTAACGGACTTAATCAACATGTGCTTAACAAAGGGTGTAATGCCACAGGTTTGCAAGCATGCAATTGTCACACCAATTCTAAAGAAGACAGGACTAGATAAATCAGATCTGATAAACTATAGGCTGGTGTCAAATTTGTCTTTCGTCCCTAAAATTATTGAACGTTCCGTTGAGTTAGTTTTAAATAATCATATAAATAAAAATGGTATTTGGCCTTCGCATCAATCTGGATACAGAAGGTTTCATTCGACCGAAACAGCTCTATCGGATATATTCTCTCATGTTTATTCAGCAGTTAATGTACAAAAAGTAACTTTGTTGACATTCCTGGACATGAGTTCGGCGTTCGATACTGTGAATCATAAAATTCTGCTAGACAGACTAAAATATTGTTATGGTTTAAATAAGATTGCGTTTGCGTGGTTCGAATCCTTTCTTACTGGTCGGACTCAGCAGATTTCTTACTCAGGTGGTCTCTCGGAACCAATGAAACTTACGTCAAGGGTGCCTAAAGGATCTGTTCTTGGACCGATTCTTTTTAATTTGTACGTTGCAGAGATATTGGATTTACTGAATAAAGATGGTTATTATTGCCATGGTTACGCAGATGACATGCAGATTTGCGTTTCATGTTTCCCAGATGAGATGCCTACTGTATTAGAGAAACTGACAAAAACTATATCTGATGTCGGCTCGTGGCTGGGTCAAGTAGGCTAAAGTTGAATCAGACTAAGACTCAGTTCATGTTGGCTGGTACATGGCAACAAACGTCAGCGGTTGAACCTTCATCGATTAACATCAGCATGACTGATATAAGTTTCAGTAAAACGGTTACCAATTTGAGAATTGTGATGGACTCCCGTATGACAATGGGTCCAAAAGTCAGTGTATTGGTTAAAAAATGTATGTTCCAACTACGTCAAGTCACAAAATCGGTAGATAGAGATACAATGACTCTATTAGTACATGCTTTCGTCAACTCTAGATTGGATTATTTTAACAATCTTTTATATGGCATAGCTGATAAATTGTTGTCTAAACTTCAGATGGTTCAGAATCAGGCTGCTAGAATGATATATCGCAAATTAAAATTTGATCATGCATCACCAATTCTAAAGGAGTTGCATTGGCTGCGTGTTAAACAAAGAATCATGCTCAAGTTGGGTGTAATGGTATTTAAAAGTTTAAATGGTCTGGCTCCGAAATATTTAGAAGATAAGTGTATTCGAGTTTCATCTATGTCATCACATGGGCGTCTAAGGTCTGCTGATTCAAACACGCTGTATGTTAGAGATCGGAATCTGAAAACAGCAGATAGAGATTTTGCAGTTGCTGGGCCTATTTTTTGGAACATCCTACTTATCGAACTACGTATATCCGGGTTATCATTAGCTGAGTTTATAAAACGTCTAAAAACATACCTATTTGGTAACTCCTAGTGATCTCAACCGATGATGGCTTCGCTTTCAACATGCTTCATACGAGGAGAGCGCTGATGAGAAGCAATTACAATTGGCGCTATATAAATAAAATATTTGATTTGATTATTATTATTATATGATCATTTATATAGCGCCTATTAAAAACATTCTCATAGGCGCTTTACAACTATGGCAATTTTCTACAAAGAAAAAAGATATGTCTTCAATTGACTTTTGAACTGGGGAAGTGTCAGACCAGACCGGCGCAAAAAATATGGAAGTTCATTCCAATGCCTTGGTCTATAAACTGCAAAACTACGTGATGCAATCTTTAATTTAGTAACCGGGACCACTAACAAATTTCCCCGATCTGATCGTAGGCCAGTTTTTAAAGAAATCGATGATCTGTCAATCAACATTTCGGACAGATATTGCGGAGCCAATCCGTTTAAGCATCTATAAACCAAAAAACAGACTTTAAAAACAATTCTTTTGCTGACCGGCAACCAATGCAATTCCGACAAAAGTGGGCTAATATGTTCAACACGACTAGCACCAACAACAATTCTTGCAGCTCTATTCTGAACCATCTGCAACTTAGCAATCTCATGTTTCGAAACACCATAAAACAAACTATTACAATAGTCCAATCTTGAATGTATGAACGAATGAATCAGAGTAACCATGGTTGATCTGTTCAAACTCTTTTTAATTCGATACAATTGTCGCAATTGAAATGAACAAGATTTCACCAAAACCTTGCATAGATTTTTATCTATTTTAAAACCCATAACTGTAGCCATTTTTCCAAAATCAATAATCATGTCACTTATTTTCACAAAATCAACGTTAATCCTAGAGGTTTGCTGCCAAGTTCCAACTGGTACCAGCTGAGTTTTTTCCCGATTCAATTTTATACCATTCAAACCCATCCACCCATCCAGTGCACCCAAACAATTCAACATTCTTTCAATCAGAAAATCAAACTCCCTAGTCGCCGCACTTGCAATTATCTGAACATCATCTGCATAAGCAAAACCCATAATATATATATATATATATATATTCGTGCCAATGTTGTTTAAACAAGTGTGCTTTCAATTGTTTGCAGAAATCAGAAAGCGAGGTCCAGGTAGACGAAAACTAGGAGGCAGACTGTTTCAGACCTTGGGTCACTGCAAAATTTCTTCCACCAGTCACTAACTGGGTTCGAGGTACATTCAGTAGATGCGTGCAGTCGGATCTCAATCGCAAACGTCCCAAATGTGGTGCTTTAACAGACAATCTTTCAACTAGATATGTAGGTGCCACTCCGTCAACAATTTTGAAAATCATTACATCCAATTTATAAGTTATTCTTTTATCTATTAGAAGTCAATGAAGCTCACGTAGTATTGGCGTAATATGTTCGAATTTTAAGCCTCCAACAATAAGCTTAGCAGTCCTGTTCTGGATTGACTGCAATTTAGAAATTATTTATTTTGATACACCATAAAAAAGACTATTGCAATAGCCTAGTCATGAATGAATGAATGCATGAGCTAGACTTTTTAAAGTTGTTTCGTTTAATGAACGTCTTATATTTCTCACCATTCGAAACTGATTGTGACATTCATTCATGTATAGTAGAAACAGAAATGGTCCCAAAATTGAAACCTGAGGTACACCATAGTTGAGTTCATAGATATTTGATGCTTTATTTTTAAATGAATATGCCCTAAAAAATATGATTCTAACCATTTCAGTGCAACTCCTGAGACTCCAAAAGAATTTTCAAGTTTCTTTAGTAAAATCGCATGATTAACGTAATCAAAGGCTGCGGTCATGTCGAGTAGAGCAAGAACTGAGATATTTTGACCATCCATAGTTGCAAACAACTCTGATGCAACATCAATCAACGCAGACTCAGTTGAGTGAAGTCTTTGGAAATCCGATTGATATTTTGACAGAAAGTTGAGTTGATTGAAATAATGCAGAAGCTGTTTTTGAACGATTCGTTCAATAACTTTTGATAAAAATGACAAACTTGATACCAGTCTATAATTAGCTAATATATTTTTGTATTTCTGTTTCTTCAATAACGGACTGACAATTGCAAATTTTAACGACCTCGGAAAATAACCACATGAGTTGATGAAAAATGTCAGAAACGGAAGAAACAGATCAACGTACTTTTGAAACAGTTTTGTTGGTAGACAGTCAAGCAAATAAGTCTTCATTGGTGAATCAAGAACAATTTTGCGAAAGAATGCTATATTCTATAAATTCTACCAAATGTTTGGCGTTAATATGTTTGTAGTTCGTTTTTTCAATTTTTCTCACTAAAATTTTTTGGTGAACGTTTAGTTTATTAAAATTCAAAATAAACTTATTTTCCGAATTCATGCTGCAAATAATTTCGATTCCGAATGAGTGCTTTCTGTGCTTTCATCAGTGCTTTCTGCTGTTTATATAGAGAAATATTGACTGTCAAAATGAACTCAGATGGAGATTGACTTTGTCAAAATGAACTTAGATGGAAATTAGGTGTCAGGTTCCTTTACTGGCTGGTCATCTTCTTTGGTCTCCTTTTCTTCATCGATAGCATCATATTCTTTTTTGTCACTATTTACAATGCTAGCTTTTATTACTTCTTTGTTTTCGTTGTTGGTTAAGTGCCGGATTGGAAGTGAGGTTGTCATTTTTTGTTGTATTTTTATTTTTGGTTGTTTTGGTTTTCCACACATTGAAATAATCGTACGAAACAAAAATTGTATCTTGTATTTTTTATTCATTATACATGCCTTGTTTAAATAACGATATATTTCTGGTATTGTTATTAAAGGATACGAGATTTTTCGTATCGTTTTATAACGATACGAGATTTCTTTTATCGTTATTATTATTAAATCTCGATTGATAACGAAATTAACGGTTCGAGATGCAGGTGCATAGTATCAATATTAGATTCTATATATTATTTTGTTGACATTATAATACAATTTAAAAATTTTAAAGTATATTACCGAATATTTTAAAATTGTGTTATACTTACTTTAATTTATAAACTAATTTTAATGAACTCGGTGAATTAAACAGGGACTCAAAGAAGTGTTGGACTTAATTATGGAAGTTTTTGGTCCTTGTTATTACCCGCAAACAACCTAAGTGCATCACAGTTTTGAAGTTTCCTGCATCTGATGTGTTACAACGTCATTTCTGTTCTTGCTTGTAGTATAGTTTATAATTGATTAACACAAAATGGCAATACCAAAATTGAATACCGTGTACTTGTTGGATTTTTTAAAATTTCAGATGTTTTTTCAGATTATGCTTTGAAATGGAATAAAATTAAAAAAAACTTCTAAAATTATGCTGCATGTTTAAATTCTAATAGAATTTTCTAAAGAAATGTTAAAGTTTTAATTTTCATGTTTTAATTCGCGGCATTTTTACTTTTTTTAAACGAGTTATTTGCTACAAATTTGTGTGTACCAGATCCTAGTTTTTTTTGTTGGCTTCTCTGAAAAGAATTACATTTATACTAATATAATTGTTTTTTATTTTAATTGTTTTAATTTCACACATAGTGGTAGTTGATGACTCAACTTCATTCATTGTTTTTTGGCCCAAGGTGACATAAAAATTACATCACAAAACGGACCGGATTCGCGTACATCCAGATGTTTATGTTTCGGTAGTAAATACCGTCAGTGAAACAGGACGTTGCTCGTCAATAGTTTTAGTTTTATGATGCTGCGTCACATCAGAATTAGTCGAAGGGAGGCATTAGTCTATTGTTAACAGCTCAACGTAATCGACAAATTTTTACTGTTAATTTGAAAAAAGAAATAGCGAAAGGTATAGGCAGAAAAAAGTTACTAAAGGTTTTTTATAACTAAAAATTGTACGAAGCCGCAAAAATAAATGTTACGATAACTATATCTGTTAGCGATATTGATACCTGTAGCGTGCAATTACCAATTCATTCACATAACATTTTGATTTTCAGCACACACCACACACACATATACATAGCTATCATAATCCGTGGGCTAGTAATACTTGGTACATATATATATATTTATTCAATCGCTAGGGTTTGGACTTTTTTGGTGCTATAAGTTTTTCTTTTATTATTATAACATATTATTATATTTTTTTGCGTGTTTTCATACATTTCAATTAAAGATAAAACTTATATTTTATAAATATGCTGTATTAATTTGTCGCAAAAACACTATAGTTTATTATATTTTACCACGTATATATAGTTAAAATTTATACGCTTGTCAATCTGTACTATTCACAATTATAGTCATCACAAACTTTATTTCAATTTAAAATATTTAAATATCACTTTTTGCTGCAATTGCATTAGTATTTGTTAATTTTGAGCTAAAATAAAAACATATTTTGTTTTTTTTTGTAAATCGAAATGTTCACGCGTTAAAGAACTATAGTTCAATTATTGTGCAATGCATATTATTCATTAAACGGATCAACATTTTTATTAAATTACAGTCTAGTTTAGATGAACATGGTTGGTTTGGCCACGCTTGCAGGAGCCTAAAGCAGAGAAATAACTTCACCAATCGAAAGCGGTAAATGCACTGTCGAAAATGTAAAAAACCAATGATAACATTAAAAAATAGAAATTCACAGATTGCATGACTTATTGCGGAGGAATAAATGCTTTTTAGTGTTTACTGAAAATGGTCCCAAAAGCAACGTTGAATCTTTACAAAACCTACAGAGCATAAAAACATGCAACAACAATGCCTTAGCCAAGTGGTTGGTTGATAACAAAACAATCGTATCCTTAAGATACTGCAAAATAATATAACTGACAAACAATGTTTGTTGCAGCAAGTAGATAACACTGATGTCATCAATGAAGCACAACGGCAAGCCACTCAGACATCACATGATGAAAATGTTGCAATTGTTAAAAATAATTCGCCGGCAGGAGGTATTATTATCTCATTTATAATGTATTATAATTTGCATGTGCTACATCAATTTATTTGTAATAAACATTGCCTCAAATCTAATATTCCCTTTTTGCATGATGGTAATTTTTCGTCATCTTTTTCTAATTCCCAAAGGGTACTAGAACTGAACGAAGAAAGAAAAGAGGTTAGTTGAATAATGTAAACCAACTGCACCATGCATCTTTTAAGTAGTACAGTTGAAGAAGAGGTGTACCAAGGTTACCGATGAAGCAAATTTAGAAATGTATGGATGACGCGTTTAAACCAATATTTGGGGATGTGCACAAAACGGGAGAAAGTTTTGTTTTATATGATATTTTATAAAAGGAAAATGTCTATTAGAATATTTAAATATTTTTGAGATGCACACATAAATGGATTTTTGGCGATTTTTTAACTTTTTCGTTACCGAGACCGCAAATTTAGAAATGTATGGGTGACGCGTTCAATCTAATATTGGGGAATGTGCACAAAACGGGAAAACGTTTTCTTTTATACGATATTTTAGGGGATAAAATTTTCTATTAAAATATACAATATTTTTGAGATGCATACATAAATGGATTTTTTGGCGATTTTTTAACTTTACCGTTACAGATGGAGCAAATGTAGAAATGTATGGATGACGCGTTCAACCCAATATTTTAAGGTGTAAACAAAAGGGGAGAACGTTTTGTTATATATGGTATTTTAGGGGATAAAATTGTTTATTGAAAAATGCAAGTATTTTTGGGATGCACACATAAATGGATTTTTAGCGATTTTTTAACTTTCTCGTTACCGATGTCGCAAATTTGGAAATGTATGGATAATGCGTTCAATCGAATTTTTGAGAATGTGCACAAAACGGGAAAAAGTTTTGTTATGATATTTTAAAGGATAAAATTGTCTATTAGAAGATGCAAGTTTTTTTGAGATGCACACACAAATGGATTTTTGGCGATTTTTTAACTTTCTGCTTATCGTTGGTATATTAATATATTGCGATTTTATGAAGTTTTTTTTTATTGTTTTATACAATTTTTAATCTGAATAAAGTTAAAATGTTATAAATAACAAATAAGGAACAATAATGAATATTTTTTCATTTTCATATTTATTATTTAATCGGTTTTTTCATAATCCGCCTTTTACATATGCTTAATGTTAATCGTCGCTGTGTTAAAACCGTCGCAAACATTACCTTCGTATTTCCTGCGGATTTATTCAGTCTTTTGTGGCTGTTCGGATCAACGTCAGTTAGTGATTAGTGAGGTGAGTATTTTGTTTATTTAAATGATAAATTTATAGTAGAATTTTCGTATCGCCAAACTCCCAAAATGAGCAAATTTTTTTAACTACTGTTCTTATTGACGGTATTGAAGATTGCCACAAGCCACAGTAAGTATATGCGCAGTAAAACATGGCTGAAAAAGAGAGAGCGTTAAGTATATTTTTGCACAGACAATATGGAAAATGATGAAATGATGTACACAATGCATACACGTAAAGTATATTTTCACATAGACATATATTTAAAATGTTTATAATGGACTTTATTTTATTTTATAGACATGTTAGTACATATAAATATTTATGAATATAAATATATATAATTATATTTTTATTTATAACGTCTATGTAAAATAATAACTGGAAAAAAATAATTAATTTAAATTTTAAAATACTTCTCTTTTAATTCTATCACTCTTTCCTTTTTACAGTTAACATAGAATATGAATACCTATCAATCAATCTTCGTCTAGTGTTCAGAGACCCAGTTTCCCTAGGTAGGACGTAGAATATAAATACCTATTTATTTCAAAAAAGAAATCCAGAGAATTTGGGCTACCAAATACTCAATCTTCAAAAAACAGTTTCCGGGATTAACAAATTAATTATAAATCAATTTAAAAATACTTCCGTTAAATTGATCACTTTTTTCCTTTCTACAGTTAATATAAAATAAAGATAGCTATGTATTTCTAAACAAAAAATCCGGAAAATCAAGGCTACCGGATACTCAATCTTTAAAAAAATCGTTTCCAGGGTTAAAAAATTAGTTACTTTGTATAATATTTTAAATGATAACTTAAATAGTAATTTATATCCAGATCTAAAATTATGTACAGATTCGATAACTAGAGGACACCATAAAAAGTTTGAAGGAAATAAGATTAGAACAAACATGAGTAAATAGGCATTTGTTAACAGAGCTATAGCTATACCCATGTGGAATTCTTTACAACAGGAAATTGTGGGTGCAAAATCCGTAAATCAATTTAAAGATCCGTTTGACTATTTACTAATGAGTTTGAGATGAAGTACGAATGGCATGCAAATTATCCAGTTTGATTGATATTTCGGTTGGCATGTGAGTTTGATTGTGGATATGCTTGAGACATGTGAGTGTATTACTTTTATTATCACTTGAACAATTTATTCTTTCTTTTAATTAACTAATTTTTGGGAATTTGGGCTTATGGGTTGTACACCTGCGCTCATTAAAATTTTCTCTATTATGTTAATACGTTATCTTACAACACATCACATTACAATGCTATTCTAAATGTACTGCTTTGATGCAGATATAATCTCAAATTTTTGTTTTAAGTTCAAAAAATTAAAACCTTGATTTTTATTCATTTTTATTGTTCATTAATACATTCGATCATTGGTTCATTCATTTACTCATCTATCTGTCAATTCATCCATTCACTCAACAATGCACCCATCAATTCACTTCACACTTAGATACAAATTTTTCAAGATATTTTTAAAAAATGTTTGTTGATTCGAGACAATAATTTTTATTTGTTTCATTATTGATATGCACACATAATTTCATCAAGATACATTTGCTAGTTCAAGAGCTATAGCGTTGTACATTGGCACAAATTTTGAAATTTCGTTCACTTTCAATTTGCACAAACAACAGCTAACCTAACCCATAGACCACCTACACCAAAAAACTAGCGTCCTACCTGCCTACCGCCCTACTCACAAACCAATGGCTCTTCCAGTGCCTCAATAATGATCACCTGTGTCATCATCTAGTCAATGCCTCACCAGTGCTCTGCAACATTTAACAAACACTCAACACCTTCACTTCAGTTCAACCTGACTTAACACCATTTCATCATTTCCTCACAATCACACGAACAAACTTTTACTCCTTCGTATCCTCACTTCAACAGTCCTCAATACTATCAACTCTTTGAAATCAAACCCAATACTGAATGGTCATCCACCTCCAGTCAGCAAAATTGAAGCATCGCTACCCAGCAAAACAAGAACCATCCTGTCACAGCTCTGCTGTGGTACTCTACCTACCTCAACAGTTACCTTAGTTCTATATAATTATGCCATTCCCGACCAATGCAACCTCTGTCTTTCACCTCACCACACTACCCAACACCTTTTCAACAACAGCTACAATATGACAGAAAGACAAGTATATGAAAAGAAGGTTTTATGGGCTTTATACTGCACTAGAGTTGAAGGATCTGGGATGAAGCATTACTTAGATTTATATTTATGACCAAGGGATCATGTTTTAAGATACCAGGCAAGGGAAAATATCGTCTTGAACTTAACTTAACAGCCCATAATATTTAGCTGGGTTGAATATTTAGTTTTTAAAAACTTTACGTGATGGCCTGGTGGTCTGTGACCGGGTTTGAATACAAAAAAGGGATTCCTGTCTATCACATCCATAATATAATCATCACATATTATAAACAATTTACATATACATTATTTTGTTTCAGCCTTAAAAATGAATCAGTCCAGGAAAAAAAAACTAAAAAATCAGCTAGCTAAAAGCGTACTTGATGATTCATCATTAGTTTACTACTGCAGAGTATTTCAAACGTTAGATGAAGTATGTGACAATAATGAAGAAAAAAGTAAGTGCTATTTTCATTTTTCAGTTCTTTGATTTATCCAATATTGTTTTTCCTGCAATGTAATGAAAATTTACCAATATATTTGCTTATTTGAATAAATTTAAAGATACTTTGATAAGTAATGCACTGGACCAGTTGAAAGAAAATGCACTTCTTGTGTCCCAAAACAATATTGGTAGCAAGCTAATTGAAAAATTGCTCACACATGCAAATATAGATCAATTTGTTGGAATTGCTCGATGCATGTCCAACAACTGGGAAGTTTGTGTTACTAACAGATTTGCGAGTTTTACTCTTCAGTGCATTATTAGAAATTCTTCCAATTTTTTTTCTGGTATGTTATATTTTTATCGCAAAATTTTATGGTAAATATCTGCAAAGTTATTACATTGTTTATTTTCAGCTGTCCATAGTAACATGCAGAAAAGCGAATTCGAATTTGAAAAATTACAAGATGAGTTAAAACTCATTCTTGCCTCTGATCTTGTTTGTTATGTTAACTCACAGCTAGCTTTTTTTATGCAACATAGCAGTGCAAGCCACATCATTCGTGCAATCATTGAGTTATTATCATGTAGAAGATTTGATGATCAGATCATATATAAAAAACAAAATATTTCCAACAAAATCTGTCCGAAAAGCGGTTGGCTAATATTGTTTTATGTTAATTTTTTATTAATCTTTTTTATTTTTTTATAATGCAGCTCTGTCTGTATAACATATAAGTAATTCTTTACTTATATCTTATATTTAAACCTCAGTGCCACAAAAACCATTTAAAGCTCAGTGCCATAGGATACACATACACATTATGTATGCAAGCGCAAGCACCGCATCACTACGGGTTAGGGTCAGATTTTTGTGTTTTGGACAGACAGCATTCGAACCATGCTATCGCGTAATAGCAGCGCGAAACATGGCACTTCTACCGACTGAGCTAACTCGTTGACCTGTTGATAATATTAGTTGATAATTAGCTATTTCATTTAATACGTATTTTATTGAAGGTAGCATAGGAACGGTTTCTATAGATTTAGAAGCTGAAAGTAATCATTGTATTATTTTTCGCAATTGAGCAATGCGTTTAATTTTTATATTAAAAGACGAGAAAAATTATGTTGTTTCACAAATAGAAATCACCTATGGCCGTGTTTTTTCTTATTTCTATATTATTTAGACAAAACCGCAATGGCTCATTGCGATCATGGAGAATGGAAAAAACTGCAGTCCTTGTTAAAATCAATATGTTGAATAGATACATTAAACATTGACACACCTATCATATGTGAAAAATCCAATGTAATGAATTTTGACAAATTTGGGTAATAATTAGGAAGGTATGAAATGATTAAAAACTTGATAGGTCTGAACCTATATGGAGTAATATGATTTTTTTAGAAATAATAAATTACCTTTAAATCTGAAAAAATCTTGTTACATTTTGTTTGGCCCTAAAATAAAAACCAACAATGCCATGTTCAATAACCTATCTAAAATAAATCCTACCACATATTCATTCAATAAAATTCTTGGGTATCATGTTACAGAGTGATTTGAAATGGTCGAAACATATTGAAATGATCCTAGCAAAATTATATAGAGTTAATGAAATAATATATAGAGCACGCAATAAACTAACGTTATCAGTTATAATAACGTTGTACTATATCCTCTTTTTTCCATATCTAACCTATGGGAATATTTTTTGGGGGAGCACGGCCAAATATTTAATTAACAAACTATTTGTTGCTCCAAAAAAGTTCTTACGTACATGTTTTTCACTATCTAAACTAGACCACACCAAGCCAATATATACCTTGTACACAATTTTTAATATAAAGCAACTAAATATCAAACACTAATATTTTTCTACAAAGTTTTATATATGGAAAACTACCAACATTTCAATACATTTGAATTAACTACAACTAATAGTCGATATAATGGCAAGTTTAAATTATTGAAAAGTAGGACAGTAACTAATGACAGGCATTGGGCAGTCTGTGGTATAAAATTAATGAATGAGCTGCCTTTAGATGAAGTGAATATAACAAATATAAGGTCATTCAAGCTTTTACTCAAGGAAATTGTCTTTAAAATGGTTTGATTTAATTTTATTTTTTCACATTATACTGTGTTGTATGAATATCTGTTTGTTCTTTTTTTTCTTAATTATTATAATTACAATAGTCTCGATTAAATTATAAAAAATATTTAATTCATTCGCTGTCACTGTTACAGAAAATGTTGAAATGTTTTTCACTTTAGTGCTGCTATACAATTTGTTAACTATGAAATTTGAAAACTTGCAAGGCAGCATATGAACACTGGTTTTGTTCACTCACAAATAATAACTTTATATTACTTATTTTCAGTGTATTTTAAAACATAAATGTAGAATAATTTTGCTAAAAAAAATAATTATGTGAATGAAAATTTTTTCTAAAATTCGGAGCCCGGAGCCGGAAATTTTTAAATCAAGAGGTCGGAGTCCGATAAATTTTCATCCGACTCCGACACCCAAGAGAATTCACACACAAGAAGAAAAAGATTATGCATATGAACTAAGTCACGCATCAGGAGTATTTGGCATTAGTGCAAAACTACTGCAAGTCATTAGATTAGCTGTGGTTCTGTGGTTATACAAGGTAATAACAAAAGTATAGCAAACCGAAAAATAACCGAGAACCTGGAGAATGGCTGGACGATGGACTGCGTCTGCGCTTCCATGTGAACGTATTCTTTGTGAATATTGACGTGAATATTTCTAAAAATCTGTCTTCCTGATGCATTTCCGTTCTGCGTTTTTTCAGTTTTCTTTTGACATCCTTTCGTAAATTTAATTATTCAAAGAAAACTTGGCTAAGATTTGCTTTCATAAGATTTTTACGTTGTCGCTCTCGCTGCAAGCTAGACGTAAATTTAATCGACCACTTAGGAGTTCGTTGACCTAAGGGCAGCTTTTGACTCCTGTCAACAGAGAGGCTATGCTGTCGTTGTTCCGTAGCCTAAATGCATTTTATCAGTTAAAAATTTTTTAAAAATTCTTTACACGGACACTCTGAGCTGTGTGAAGTCGCAGGAACAATGTTTTCGGTGTTCTAAAATAGCGTTAGACTGGTATGCTCTTGACATGCTCAATTCATCGAAACTGAGCTTACATCCAAAAAGTTGGAGATTTTTGTCGGAGTCGAAATTTTTGTATTTGAAATTTGGATTTGAAATTTTTTAATTTTTATTATGAAAAATTTTTTAGGATCGTGTTTTTAAGAAGATAAATATATGTAGCATATACAGTCATCTGTTAATACTAAGAATGCTAATAATGTGAATAAAATAACAGTTTATTTTCTATCTGTTAATACTGAAAATGCTAATAATGTGAATAAAATGACTATTTTGTTTCAGTATGTTTTGAAACAAATTACATTGACTGATTTTAAGTGTTCTTTTATATTTTTCATTTGGTAGTGATATTAGAGTAAAATTATGATGCAAAAGTTGAAAAATATTCTGGGAGTCGTATCCAGAGTAAAAAGTTTTTACCCGGAGTCGGAATTTTTTGAGAGACTGGAGTTGGTGTCGGATATTTATATATGCTTGCATTACGTGAGCCTCATTGTCCACACATTTCTAAAACAGCAGTATTTGGAAATTTGTTTTTTATTGGATCCGAACTTTTTTTGAAGATAATTTTCGTGGATCAAACCTACGGACGTGTCGATGGTATATTGGCTACATTTCACAACCACACAATAAAAAAAACCAATGCTACTGTTTTATCTCTTGAAATTTTAGTGGCTTAACTAAGCATTACTTGCTTATTCCGAGTGCACGTTTGGTTAGCTAAAAGCATCGACAGCCTTGACAAGTCTGGCTGTGTTGGAAATGCAGCTAAGCTACCTACTGATACAATAAAATCTTGACAGTCTGATTTAAAGTTTCATCTGATCCACGCCTCTGCCAGCAAATCATTATCTTCTGCATAGTTCAACTTGTGTCAATTAAGGTGCCGAGTATTCTTTGGGGTCTTAAATTTATTCGGTGCAAAAATCTGACGCCACTCCTAAACCACCAAGAACATTATTTTCGCAACTTCACACAGCTCGGATGTCCGAGTAAAGGAATTTAAACAATTTCCCAGCTGATGAAACTCAGGATACAGAACAACGCTACATAGCGACTCTATTGACAGGAGTCAAAAGGTGAACCCAATCCAAAGTGGTTGACTAAACTTATTTCTAGTCTGCAGGAAGAGCGACAGTGTAAGAAATTTATCAATAGTAAATCTGTCACGTGTTAAGCCGTTTTGGTTTTCGCTCCGTTGAGATAATAAAGAACTGAGTATTGAGTAGAACACAAGCGAGGTCGTTAGATTTAGTAAAACTTCCTTTTTTGAATAGACTTTGTTTTCTTTTCAAAATTTACGTTTCGTAACTTAGTTTTTTTAAATTAGTGAAAGAGACTAAAACGAAAAAGCGATGGATAAGAGATAAGATAAGAGTTGATGGTTTTCATTGACCTACACTTTAATTTTAGCAGAAAAATTTCTTCAATTTCAGATATTACCTATCCGTCAAAAATCAAAAGGTTTTTTCAAGAACAGCTCTTAAATTTAGATAACAAGCTTGTCAGTTTATCTAAATTGCAAGGTTTGATTACGAAAAATTATTTGCGTTGTCAATTGATATTTATATAATTGTGTGCTGAATGAAAATATTCGAAATATGCTTATTTTAAGTGTTTTTAAAGTATTTTTTATTTAGTATCGATAATAAGGTGAAATTATAATACAAAAAATGAAAATTTTTTTTGTAATTCGGAACCCAAAATCGAGAATCGGAAATTTTTATCCGGAGTCGGATTTTTTTGAGAAGTCGGAGTCGGGAAGTGGATTTTTCGAAGGGCCAAAGTTGGATATTTTTCACCCGCCTCATAACAAGGATGGAATCAGGCATCAAATTTAACTGATAGATTTATTTTTTTCAAGCTACCATAAAGATTGTCTAGAGATCAGTTACCTTAAAAGAACTTTCCTTGCGCTTTATCCCGTTAAAATTGGAACATCATAGTGAAATGGAAAGATCTTGGCACAGTCCTCTGAATAAAAGTGTTAGGCCGCTTAGAATAGGTTAGGTGTTCAGGGTAACGTACCTCTGGTTGAGGTAAATGAGAGTGTGCTTTGCATTAAATTAAGCTACTCTATTGCTGTTTTCAACTTCCGTTGTAAAAATAATAAAAAAAATTAACTGGTTAACTGTTTACTGTTTAAAAATTAACTGTTTACCTTTTTGCTAGCTTTTGCTAGCACGGAGTTTTTTATGGTTTAATATCGTTTGTTGTGATTTTTTGGTGAAATTTTTGATATTAAAACAGTTTTCAATAATTTTTTTAAACGTAGATCATGTTTGTAACACATTATCAAATCCTGTTCTTCAGTCTATGGTTCTTTCTCTGAAATCATTGCCAGTTAATGTTAGCAGCGAATTGCTCAGCAATTTTATAGAAAATTCTGAACTTTTTACTGAGCACGTTGACAAAAAGTTTGTATTACTACTAATTTTTATAAATATTTGTAACATAATTTAAATAATTTGCAAAGATTGTTAGTCGTTAGTGAAAAAGAAATCGGCTCATATTTATTAGAACAAGTCCTCATCACACTTTCAGACGATAGATTTGAAGAAATTTTTAGCTTACATTTTAAAGGTATAAACTGTCATTTAAATTTTATTTTTATTTTAAATAAAAGCTAACCTAATTTATGTTTCTAAAATATATGATATTTTTTATTTTAGGTTTTATTGTTTTATTTTTTTAAATACAATTCTCCCAGTTTATGTTGATTTTATTTGGAAATAAAGGTTTTAGAAAGATTCAAGAAAAAAAATCACTTTGTTTTTATTTTTTCTATCTCTCTAAATTATTTTTTTTTAAATAATGCTTCTATAATTTTTTGTTAGGTAAGTTGTTACACATGGCAACCTCTCCAATAGGTAATTTTGTACTTCAAAGACTTATCAAAAGCTCCAGAAATAAAAAACAGGTTGCTATTTAACATTTTTATTATGTTTATAAATTATCACAATAGTTCAATAAAAGCTGGTAATTTTAAAAACAAACCAAATGGTGTAATTACAAACTTAGAATGTATTAAAAGCAAATTGAATGAAATGATTCTTTGACGTCTAATGATTAGTTTTTAATTTTTATTAATGACAAAATGAGAACCCCAAAAATAGTTATAATGAAACCAAATGCAATTGTTTATTTTGTTCAAAAATTGCACGCAACATTTTAAATAGCTTACATAGCTCGTAATTGTATAGATAGCGTTAATATATATATATATATATATATATATATATATATATATATATATATATATATATATATGCAAACATCGTTGAAAATAGAAGCCCATTTTGCGTTAATAACTTTCTTTAGTAACAACTCAACACTTCTAAACTTTTCAAATTGATATTTATTTTAAAATGAACGACATGTTGAGGCTAACAGTGCTGTTTTGAATAATTCATTATCAGAGCTTATGTGAAAGTGAATATTGCAAAATATGAAATTAAAATAAATAAATATGAAATATGCAAAATATGAAATTAAACTAAATATTAAATGTATGTAAAATATAATGGAATTTTAAAGAAATGACAGGTTGTTAACCTTTGCTAGGGTAATTTTATATTTTTAAAGATTGTAGAAATAAATTTATATTGTAAAACTTTGAATGCAATTAAAGCGAACCATTATTAAAATAATGAAAAGTTAAATAAATTAATATTGCAATTTAATTAGTATAAAATTAAAAAACGGAGAGATAGAAATAAAACATAAATTTAGTCGAATGTAAACAATTATTGTTAAAAGTGGACAAGAATGGAAAGCTTGTGGAAAAATGCTAAAAATTTATTTATTAAATATGTTAAGATATATATAGATAATTTTAAAATCACGGAAATATTGACTATGCACTATCAAATAATGAAGTCAGCTACACCGTGACATTAGTCTTATGACGAATGGTCACATGGTCACCGTTCACAGGTATCTCATCTTTAGGAGCCGACTCATACTCGTAGCGACATTGTGGTGGTGGTTCACGGTTGTTGATATGAATGGCACATTGTGGACTGTTCTGTCTGTATTGTGGATAAAGATGGAGGGTATGGACGAATGTGTTCCAATTGTTTATTTATAGAAGGTTTGTTGTTGTAAATGTGTAAAGCCTCTTTAATTTAAGACGAACAAGATGCGATTCGTGTTTAAGTATTTTTGTGTTGGCGTCTAATATCGCTCTGGTTAGCAGCAAACCGTGAGTCTTAAACATATGATCTTTAATGGCGCCATTCTTTACATGCATGGTGAATCTTCTGGCCAGAGTAGTACGCGTATGCCCAACATAATTTTCCACAACACTGTGTGGCATAGGACAATTGAGGCTGTACACCACGCTACTCTGTTCCAAAATACTTGTGGAATGTCTGTTACTATTTTTTATTATTAAGTTGGATGTCCGGCTTGTTTTTTAATATATAATGAGTTTGAGTTGATGTTCATCGTTACACATAGAAATATTAGATTTTATGATATTTTTGAGTTGAAATTCGTCTATTTTGTAGTTATCATGCATTTGGTTAAGTTAGAAGATTGGTGTTGTTGTTTTTGTTGTAGTTAATGGTAGTAACGCTGTAGGTGTTGAGTTATTGATTTTATTCAAGTACTTGCGAATAATGTTGTCAATAATCTTGTTAGGGTAGTTATTGTTAATTTAAAATTGTTTGATTCTCACTAATTCACTATGAAAAATAGTGGATGAAGTTTTATACGCTCTGTAAACAAAGTTATAAACAACATTGAATTTATATTTGTCAGGGCAATCTAAGTTGTAATTAAGTACTTGACCTGAGTTGGTTGGTTTAACAGACTTTTGAGGTTAATTGTTTCTCGTAATGCATAATAAGACAGTCCAAAAATGCAAGTTCATTTTCTTTGCTGAATTCGATGGTGAATTTTAAATGGGAATTATTCTAGAAAATATTCCGCAGACAATACATATCAGAAACAGTCCTGCAAATGATGAATATATCGTCGACATAGTGTGCGTATATCAACGGTTTGTTCTCTAGGTCCTAAATATGCGAGTTTCTAAATCGGACATGTAAAACTCGGCAAAGAGTGGGCCGAGAGGAGATCCCATGGCCACACCGTCGACCTGTAGAAAAAGTGAACCGTCAGGAGCAGTGAACGGACTCTGAACTGTGCACAATCTCAAAATATCTTTCAGTAAATCTGGTTGTATATTTAGCTGTGGTAGTGTTGGGTGATTGTAAACTTGTGAACATATGATGTCAATGGTATGTTCAATTGGAACATTTGTGAATAAGCTCTCAACATCAAGAGAGGCCACGTGTCCATCACACTGTTTATTACCATTTATTATGTCAATGAACTCAAAGCTTGAATTAACTGAAAATCAGCATTAGGCGTGAGCTGATTCGAGTCACCTCCAGTAAATTTTGTGCCAGTGGTTCCCGTATAAAGATTCCCACTCCATTTTGGTTTGTCTTTTGGCCACTACAGAACAACATGTAACTCCCAATGAGAGAGACACCATTTGATTTCCATCTTGTTTCCTGCAGAAAACAGATGTCAACCCTTCGCCTTTCCAGCAGGTCGACGATTTCCATGGAGCGATCCAGTATTTAAAGTGCCAAGTCTGATATTTCAGGAGGGTACGCCAGATTTTCCGCAACATCCCTCCACTGTTGCGTGCTTCCTGGATATTGTCACCCGTTGACCATTTAAGGTCTTCTTGGGAATCTTTCCTTTTTTATGATGACATAGAAGATGTTTGGGTCAAAAAAATTTTATATCTGGAATCGCCCAATTCCTAACGACAACAACCACTTATAAGTAGTGGGCCAACCCTTTTTGCTGGAAGCACACAAGGCAGCGCAGTTGCAGTTTTTTATCTCGTGTTCAAGAGAGCGCTGTTGTAAACAGTGCACCTAGCCTTTGGGTCAAAGGTCCGTGTTCCACAAGGCAGTGGATTTAAAAGGTCATCCGCTATTGGAGCCGTTGTCCTAGGATCCTCCGCCTCTTTCACCATTGTCTTCTTTCTTCTGGTACAGTTGGTTCGCGGCATCTTATTCCATATTATTCGATGCAATCCCAGAAGGTCTCCCTGCTCAAGACTTTCCCCACCTGGGGACGCGCCTTATAGCCAGTGCACCTCAGCATGAGGTACCATATATATATATATATATATATATATATATATATATATATATATATATATATATATATATATATATATATATAGAGAGAGAGAGAGAGAGAGAGAGAGAGAGAGAGAGAGAGAGAGAGAGAGAGACGGTAAGAAATTAGATTAATTAACGTGAAACAATTTATGAATTGTAAAAGATGATCTGCCAAACAAGATTAAAGGAATCATTAAAAATTTCTGTATCTTGACGGTTGAAAAAAAAAACAGTTAAACATCTTGAAAATAAATTTTTGTTTAAAGTTTAAACAGATTTATGAAGAACTGCTTCCACATTTTGAATCGATTTTTGCATTAAACCACTTAGGAGTAATAGTTGAAATAAGCAGAACTTGCCAACTACATTCAACAAAGCAAACAAAATTCGTTAAGGTTAGTTAATATTTCAATTCCATATTTAGAATTTGGTTTTGTTTTAATAATTTTGTTTGATAATTGAATAAAAATTACTTTTGTTTAATGTCATCCATTTGTCTGTTTTTCTGATAAACGTTAACACTGAATTTAAATAATTGGAATTTTATTTCCCTTTTTTCTGAGTTTTATTTTGAGTTGCAGATAACTAAAGTAAAAGGTTTTAGTCACTTTTCGAAAGTTGGTAAAACCACTGCTGCAAACGTTACACGTTACCTCTACGTTACTTTATATAAGTAAATTTTTTTAATTTGTCACGAGAACTGTTGTTATTCGCAGTTTGCATTCCCCGCATTACCGAACCATTTTGTGAAAGCTTTAAGAATTTTTTCATGACATGACTTGAACACAACTAAACTTTTTTACTTTTAACGTTTTCCATGATAAAAGCATATGTTTTTAAAAAAAGAAAAGCCTAGTACACACGTGTTGCCCATTTCTGGTTTCTGAGACGTGACTCGATTTGTCTCAAAATATTTTTATAAGTCAATTCTAGTCTGCGAAAGTGAAAATCGCATATTTAAAGTTTCTCCGCGAAAAGGAGACTATGCGATTTTCATACATTTTTTACTTTAAAATTTTTTTTGGATCGGTTCTATTTTTTAAAATTTTGTTTTATTTTAATACTTCATTTAATATTATTTAATGTTTTCAATATTTATTAGTATCTTTTAGTATTTTCTTGTAAAGTTTTAAAAATTTAAAAAGTTTTTAAAAACTTTTTTTTATTTAAAATAGGAATTTTTTAAAAAACCAGTTTGATAGAATTTTACTATATTCCATTGTTTTCACGTTTATTGATAATTTCAATATTTTAATTTATTTGTATTTTTTCAATATTGAAATTTTTTCTATTTTTAAAACTTTTAAATTTTTAAAATGAACGAGTATAATTTTTATAAATGTGATCAGAAACTATATAAAGAAGAAATGTTAGACTTTTTGTTAGACTTTTATAGAAAGCCACGTTATACAAAAACGACAATAAGATATCCAAATTATAGCGTGGCTAGACTGGACAAGAAACTACGTCTCATTTGTGTTTATCGTTGATACCTATAAAGCGAATGCAAAAAAGAAAATGATCTTTTTTTTAGGCTTAAAGCCTAGTGACAACAATTTAATAAAAATGAATTATGAACGTTTTAAAACAAAAGGAGTAATGTTTAGCTCGTGGTATGATAAACAAACCACATTTGTTTCAACTAATTGATGAAAACATGCATCAATTGAATAACATTTTATTTATGCTGAAAGGAATCTAAGATGGATCTGAACAGAATAATATAATGATAAATAACTGTAAAGATGTGGTCACATAATATTCTGTGATCAATCACTCGTTTATTCAATCGTTAAAATCGTTAGAATACAGCACAATAACTAATTGACAGCTAAATCACGGAATACAACCAATCGTCAATAATTAAGCTTCTCTCATTAGACTAATTATATTGAGTTCTCCTAGCGTTCTTTATTGCAGTAAGTTTCCAGCTATCAAAATTTTACTTATGTCACCAGTGTGTAATTTCTCGAAGATCCCACTTCTACACCAGTGTTGTAACCTCCTCGACCTCGTAACACCGATATTATAGCTTTAATACTCGCTATATCTCCAACACTGTGTTGTAGTTTCCAACAATAGTCGAAAGTTCGTTTATCCGTAGGTTCAAGATTTCCGATAGATGAAACTAGGCGGAACGTTCATTTAATACCAGCAGTAATAGAAACAATAAATTAATCCAAATGACTACGCAAATCACATTTACGACTTCTACCTCAGCTGTCCTCCGTCCTCTTACCTGTTCTCCTCTCTCTTGTGTGTCTCGAATCTTGCTTTCGGTGTTGCTTATATAGCTACCGATCTGCTTGTAAATGTGTCACATGCCGTGTCACACCCATAAATGAATTTACAATCATTTTAATTACTTACACCTTCTAATTTATTTACAAGCGGTTCATTTTTCGGTTTATGCATAACAATTTCTTACTATTAATTTTTATCTCGATTTCACGTCTGTAACAATATTGTTCAAAAACCCAAATAACGCATTATGTTTTAATAATTGAGCAAATCTATCATTTACTGCTTGAATTGATTTGTTCATAATATCTCGTTGTAAAATAATACTCTAAATTTTTGTTCAGGTGATACTATTGTCTTCATATGAAAATTGTCGGGTTTTTTGCGCACGCGTGTAAATTTCTTGTCATTCGATTCTTCACAAATTTCAAGTTCAATTGCAAAAATTTTCGCTTCCTTAATCATTGCTGATAAAGCTTCATCAGAGCAATAATCGTACATAAAAGATTTAGCAGCGTTTAAATGTTTTAAGACTAGACACAAATCTAAAGTAAAATTTTGCTGACAATTTTATTACGATTATCACAATTATTACAATTACAGTTACGAGAATATTGATTTTAAAGTTTTCAAAAAGGTCGTCTTTCAGAGACATGAAAAAGGATCAACTAAATTTGATATATAAATTTATAAATTATAATAGGTAAAAATTACTAATAATTATTACCAATGAAAAAATTGCAGAAATTATTACCAATGAAAAAATTGCTTCTAGTAAATTAAAAAAATGCTTCGTCATTTTTGCCTAACTAACGAAAATTCACCCAGTTAAAATCGGCTATTAAACATTCTATCTTCTACCTATCTTCTAATGAAACCATTTCATATATTATTACGAACTTAATTATCTATTTTACTTTATATGTGTTTTGTTAAAATATTTAAATTCTGTTTAACATTTATATTTTATGATCTTAAAATATGGAGAAGGTTTATTAAATTTTTAAATAGGTTTAACATTTATATTTTATGATCTTAAAATATGGAGAAGGTTTATTAAATTTTCAAAAAATATATCTAGATTTGTTGCAAAAATGTTGAAAGGTAGTGGAAGGTAGATAAAAGACAAATTACACTTTCCCAAAGTGTACATAACTCGATTTTTAGTACATGGCGTATGTAAAAACTGTTGGAAGTTTATCGTAAAGATATATAATATACTCATCAATATATTAATATCTTACTTGTTCAACTATTAAAAAAAGGGAAGGTGTTGAGGAGAGAGGAGGAAAGTGTACTGCAGAGAGCTGAAAGAGCTATGGTGAGGATGATGTGTGGGGTTAAAGTGAAGGATAGGAGTAGGAGTACAGAGATGATGTCGATGATGGGACTGAATGAGGACATTGTGACATTGATAAGGAGATCGAGATTGCGGTGGTATGGACATGTGTTGAGAAGGGATGAAAGGGTCGGGATTAGGCGAGCGTTGGAGTTCGAGGTTGAAGGAGTGATAGGAAGGGGTCGTCCGCGATTGGGATGGAGAGAGCAGGTGGAGAAGGACAGAGTGAAAGCGGGGTTGCGTGATACTGAGGCGAGTGACAGATGTGAATTTGCGTCGAGAGGTATTTCGATTTCATCATAGGTAGCCAAACATCAACCCCCGATCTCGGGAAAAATGTCGTATAAACGTGTGTTGTTGTTGTTGTCAACTATTAAAAAAAGCTTTCTGTCGAAGATCACGAACATCAACCTAAAACCACTAAATCCACTATTTTATTCTAATTTTTATAATTCATCATATAATTGATGTCTAATAGGGTTTAGCTTAAATCAGAATTTCTCGAAATTTTTGATGATGTTTTTGGATTTTTTTCGCCGTAATTAGCTTCTATATAAATGCTTTAATTAATCTAGGAGAAATTTTTCTGGAACTAAAGACAGTCATCATAACAATCTCTGAATAAGAATGGCATATATAATACAAAATAGAAAACTATAGAATAGTTTGCAATCTTCGCAATGATTTTTGAGCGCTGGTTCTGACATTTGTTTTTTCACTTATCTGTTCATAAATTGATGTTGATGTATAAAATATGCAATTCTCATTCAGAAAGTGTTATGATGACTGCCATAACAAAAAAATTTCTCCTAGATTAATTAAAGCATTTATATAGAAGCTAATTATCGCGAAAAAATGGCTCAAACACTAAAACAACTTTGCTGTAAATATTTGATGATTCATAGGTTTATTATTTTACTTAGTTTGCTCTATAGTTGGTTCATTCATTAAAACAACTTTGCTGATAATATTATCATTCATATGTTTATTAATTCACTTAGTTTTCAATATTTGATATTTGGTAAAAATAGATTCACCTCGGTTGATAGATTTGTACAAGTTAATATTGGCTTCTGTAGATGTTTGGAGATTAGAACAGATAACAGATCTAACTGGATGGCATAAATTTCATAAATATATATAAAAAGAAGAAATAATTATATTATGAGGTTATGATTATAATTCGAGTATATCTACCTGATCAGGTAAAAAATCTAAGAGTGATGTTCAAGAATGCATGTACTATGATAACAAAAGGCAGTGAAACTTAGTACTTTTTGTCTACAGTTACGAAGATTAAAACGAAATGCATAAACTTGTAAACAAATGTAACATTAAAATGATGTACCAACATATATTTGATGATTCAGCCCTACGAAGATTCCTGGCGCTGATAATTTATTTTTTTTATTGCCATCCAACTATGTTATCTGTTCGAATCTCCAAATTATCCTTAATGCAGCCCTTGTAACCTTCTTTTATGACCCAGAGAAAACGTGGGAAATACAACAATTTTGCATATAAATTATGTTACCCTCCAATCGCTTTTTTGGGCTTTTGTGATAAAAACCTCAATACTTTTTAGGCTTGCTCTGTCGTTTAAACTGTTTCGGCCACCTGAGCGTCTGAGTATCCATGTAGAGGTAGTCTTGAATACTTTTATTTTTTTGGTCATCTTGATAATTATGCTAAACATTACACAAGTTGCAAAACATTCCAAAAACTGACACTTTTTGTTTATACGTTCCGTGTTTGTCAACCCATCAAATAGTGATGTTTTCCTGAAGTAATCATTCAATCAACTTTGATGAATTTGCAAAAGATCAGGCACACGGACCCATGAAAAAATGAAAATGAAAAACCGTCGCAGGGAGATTATTCCATTTTCTTGGCTAGAAGGGTAGGTGTCAGTTGTACAAAATAATGTTCATGACCGGCAATCACATCGACTGAAGGAGACTCCATAGAAATAATAGAGTTTGCCATCGGATTACTTTTGGATTTTTGTGGTATAAGAGTTTTTTCTGTGGTATCAGTTTTTTCATAGTTAGGAAACGAAGATTTAGAGTCAGTATTTTTTCTTGGATAAATTACTGTCTTTCGAGCTCCATTTGCCGAAGCAACTAGTTAAGATGTCAGTGGTTTGCCTTTGCATTTTTTGAAAAACGGGTTTTGCTAGATAAAAACGATGAACGTAGCGTGAAGTAGCTAGATTTGATGGTTTAAGGTTGTGTTTTGCAAAAATATTTTAAAAAAGTTCATCCCCATTACCAGCCCTGTGCATAATCATTTATGAATCGATATAGTAAAATACAAGTTGTTGAAATGGTCAACATGGGTTCATCATCTTGAAAAACCGTTTTTGGCATACCAGTCTTTTACATTTTATGGGTTGGTTTTTAGAAGATTAGATAAAAAACATCTCTTTTATGTAAAGCAAGGCGCGACAGAAATCACTTGAAATGAAAGTTGTTGGACAGTGTTAGATTAAAATTGGTAAAAATGTGTATTGGATTGGTAACACGTTGCAAGCACTCTCTTCAGCAATCTATCTCTAAGCAAAACCATTTTAGTCACGCGTATACAATGTATTTTATGTGTTGATTATTTATAATTCATAAAAAGAGACTAATATATTGCAAAAACTTGAAAATTAGATTTGAATTTTAGTTATTAACGAAGTTTAAAACATTTTTTTAGCATTTATGCAAAGCATTTCATTGTTATGAACCAGAGGCCAGAAGATGCAAATTTGTACAACTTCTTTTATCGCTGTCAACTTATGAAGTTTTTTTTAGTTATGACGATGATAAAGTAAGTAATTTAGTTATTTTTTAATGTGTTTATAAACTTTTTCAATTATCATCCGCTAACTATTTAAAACGAAAGTGTTTAAAATTAAAAGGAAAAAATTTGAAAAATTTTTTATAATTTATTTAAAAGCTTTATAATCTGATTTGAGCATTCCAAGCAACCAGTAGAAAGTTAACGGAATCATTAAAACAGATTCCTTACATATATTCTCACAAAACATTATGACATTGCTGCTTACAATCAAGCCAGGATATTTGCATCGATGTTAAAATGGTAAGATGGAAGTGTTAATTGTAGCTAGTTCAAATTGACGGTTAAAGAATCAATGGACGGAGACATTTGTTAAAGCATTAGTCGACAGAGAATCATCGTAGCATCCTTGCATCTTTGAAGACAATGATGTAATTCATTTTCTACATTCACATGCAGTTTTTTCCACATATTCGAAATATAAATTTTGTGGACTTGGAGGACTGTTCATGATGATGATGATGTGTTGATGATGCACGCTGTCCTTTATTTCGGTTTTATCAGCATTTATCTTTAATGCTCTTGGTCTGACGCAAACTTCTTCAAAATTTCTAGTTCATTTTGAATAGGCTTGTTAATTTTTTCAGGTGTTTTTATATCTAAATTTGGCACGACTCTTGATCACCTTAATATAAAGCTAAATTTTAAAGATTTTGTTTCAACCCATTCCTCTGTTGTCCAAATTTTTGAAATTGTTTTTTGCTAAGTTTTGATTATAAGATGGTGCGCTCAAATATTTCATGTTTCGTGATCTATTGCTAAATAGAACTTTTACAATTTGACGCTTTATGAAGGTGTTTATCTATTGTGGGGGAAAGTTTCTTTACGGTTTGACTGAAGCTGTCAAGATCTCACGCTATACAATGATAAGTTTCGAACATGGGATCGCGTATCACGCCATGGCTTTCTTATACCCTTTAAACTTTTCTCAAAACAATTTATTTTGCAAATCAACAGCAAAGCATCAAATGCTATTCACTAGAAGACCCGAAGCCTGCACTTGTAGGGTCACCCAGTCCATAGAGACAGAAAAGTAATGACACAAGAATATTGTTGTACACTTGCGCTCGTTAATACAAACACCAGTGTTATAACTTTAAGGATCTCTATATTTCCAACACATGTGTTGTAGCTTCCAAGATCGTCAAGTTATCGTTCAAGATTTCCGATAGATCAACACAACTGCTTCAAGTGCAAACTTTGTTGATTCTTTCCAGTTATAGTACTCACAAAACTGTTATAGTTTTTTTTGAAATGCCTTCGTTTAATGTGAGGTATTCATAACAATATGAGTTAATTTTTCCTGACCGTGAATGAATTGAATCTTTTAATTGCTCAAAATTGTCTCGTGCAAGAAGAAATCTTTTCAACTTCAGTATTTTTGTGCTTTTTAACAAAGTTGTTTTCAAATTCCACTAAAATTTTTTTATTACCATTAAATTTTCCAACTTTCAGAATAAAGTTTGTAAAAGTCCAGGAACTTCTAAAAATGATTATAGCAAAAAAGGAGTTATGCAATGCCAGGAAACTGACGATGAAATTAAAACCGGTGATGACGAGATGTCATCTTTATTGCCCAAGCTGCAATTTGTTAACATATATGGATCCCACATCATGCAGAATTTGTTAATGTTTAAAAATGTTGCTTTAGTTGTTCAAGGCTTATTCGAATTAAGTTTCGAGGAGCTAAAATTGTTATGCGAGGATGCACGTGGTACTAGAGTCATTGAAGCTTTTCTAGAAAGTACCTCCGTTTCTGATAAACTGAAAAATGCTTACGCTTTAAAGCTAAAGGTTCATTTACATTTTATATTTATTTTTGTTTATACACATAAATATAAGATTTATATTTTGGAACGAGGTTTTCGTTAAGACAAATTAAGTTAAATGTTTTTGCCCATTTGGTATTTATTTATCAACTTAAAAAGTAATTCGTATTTATTGAGATTTGCTGTCATAGTGCGTTTGACAACGTTGTTTCGACTTGTATTGTCATCGTCAGAGCCTACAATTTGAAATTACAAAATATGAAATATGAATTTAAAGAAATATTTAAAATCAGGAAAATCAAGAAAATATCAAAGTAAAATAATTAAACGAGGTTGGATTAAAATACGTATAGTAATACAAATTTAGAATAAGAGTGATAACCTTTAAATCCAATTAAACGTAAATTTCAAAATATGTAAAAATGAATAAAATAGAACGAATACATTATGATGAATTAAATATTTAAATGAAATAAAATATTGAATTAAAATTAGTAAGCGTGGATATCGATATTACAGATTGGATATAAAGACAAAACATGTTTGTAGTGATGTAGTGTTAACTAGTTTAAATGAATGTATATATTATGATAATATGTAGCAGTAATGAATGTACGTTGTTAATTAAAATATGAAAATAAAATATGGATGAAATGAGAGCAAAATAAATGTATCGAGTGACGTAACGACGTAGGATTTTTAACGAGTGGTCACAAATTACGTATTGACGAGTTGGAATTTATCAACTTTGGTGGTTAACTGCTCTTCTTTCTGTTCTACAGACGGTCAATGAACGCGAGTCTTTTTTGGTGCTAAATTCTATTGTGAATTTTAATTAAGAATTAATTTGGAAAATGTTTTGTAAGTTGTGTATATCAGTAATGGCTGGATGGACAGATGATTTTTAACGAGTGGTCACAAATTACGTATTGACGAGTTGGAATTTATCAACTTTGGTGGTTAACTGCTCTTCTTTCTGTTCTACAGACGGTCAATGAACGCGAATCTTTTTTGGTGCTAAATTCTATTGTGAATTTTAATTAAGAATTAATTTGGAAAATATTTTGTAAGTTGTGTATATCAGTAATGGCTGGATGGACAGATGATGAAGATGTCGTTTATTGCGTATATTGATGGTTTATTTGTCGGATCGCTGAATATCTTGGCTTGGAAGTCAGACATATGAAACTCTGCGAAAGGGGGACCTAGAATATGATAGCCCATAGCAACGCCGTCGATCTGTAGGTACAAAGAGCCGTCTGTAACAACAAAAGGGCTTTAAAAGCTCGGTAAGTAACTTAGAGGGGATATCGTGATGTGGGAGCGTGGGATGTATATTCTATGGGAACATTAGTAAAATTCAACGAATAATTGGGCCATATGTCCAGTGCACCGCCTATTGTCGTTGATGATTTATATAAATATTTTTACATTACAAATTATATTTATTTAGTTATATGTGTTTATGCAAATACGTATATATATATATATATATATATATATATATATTTTTGGTAACAGACTGTTGTTAACGCAACATTTCAAAAATTCATTTTGTTGTTGATTTGGTTTCTAATGATACGGCTGTTGTTGTTGCTGTTGTTGTTATTGTTGTTGCTATTGTTATTACTGTTTGTAATGAGGCTTGTGATGCTGTTATTATCAAAGTTATTAGACGTGGTGGAGGGGTTGCCATTATCTTCCTGTTCATTGTTGTTTGGAACGTTGTTGGTAATTGCATTATTTTGATGTATATTTTGTGCATTTTCATGATATTTTTTGGTTAATCTATTTATGACTTGATCAATTTGTTTCAAAGAGTAATTATTGTTTACGAGAAGTTTTTTTATTCTTAATAATTCTGAGTTGATGAGTGTATAATCAGAGCAATGTTGAAACGCTGTTAACTAAAGAAAATATAACACTATTTTTACTATTTTATTTTTATACCATTAAGACAAAATCCCAAATTGGTGTCTTTTACATAAACTTGCGTTTGAAAACCAATGTCATTTCTGGTTATCAGGACATCCAAAAATGGTAGCTGTTTCTTATTTTCAATTTCATGGGTAAAGGAAAGAACTGAGTTGGATTTAAATTCATCAATTAGGTCCATCAAGTTGTTTTCATTTTCTACTATAATGAACGTATCATCAACATATCTTACATACATTTCGGGTTTGAGATGTGGTTTCTTTTGGAAAACAGTTTCTTCGAAATAGCTATTTGCAAATTTATTTAATAAAAATTTTTTAAAAAACAATAAAATGTCTAATTTCAGATATGTTGATGATACGTTCATTATAGTAGAAAATGAAAACAAGAAAAAAAAGAAAAAAAGAAATATAAAAAAGTTAAATATAAAAAAGTTAAACAATGTTGAAAGTAGTGTTGAATTTTTGAAATATATATATATATTTTTACAATATTCTATAAATTCTACCGAATGTTTGGCGTTAATATGTTTGTAGTTCGTTTTTTCAATTTTTCTCACTAAAGTTTTTTGGTGAACGTTTAGTTTATTAAAATTCAAAACAAACTTATTTTCCGAATTCATGCTGCAAATAAGGCCATATTTCGATTCCGAAAGAATCATCATCAGTGCTTTCTGCTGTTTATATAGGGAAATATTGACTTTGTCAAAATGAATTTAGATGGAGATTGACTTTGTCAAAGTGAATTTAGAGGGAAATTAGGTGTCAGGTTTCTTTATTGGCTGGTCATCTTCTTTGGTCTCCTTTTCTTCATCGATAGCATCATATTCTTCAACATTTTCCTATATAAACAGCAAAAAGCACTGATGATGACTCTGCCGCTGGTTACTGCTTTTGAGGTTCTGGGGGTGAAACTTAAAATTAATGAATTAGATTATATCCTACTAGCAATTTACAGACCTGGATCTGAACAATTAACGGCATCATTTTTAGATGAACTGATTTCGGTCTTTGAATGAATTAGTTCCCGTATTTTGTTAGCGGGAGATTTCAACATTCACAAGTAGAGGTCGAACAATCCAAACGTTGTTAATTTACGTGAAATATTTGAAATGTTTCAGTTGATCAACCACATAGATGAACCAACGCATATTCTAGGAGGAACGCTCAATCTGATTGTGACGTCACACAATATAGCGGTCAGTGAAGCAAAGGTTTATCCTAGGGGAATCTATTCTGATCATAGTTTGGTACAAGTTAGTTTATCAATAAAATTGACAAAGTCTCTGAAAGCAAAAAGATTGATCCGACTCTGAAATTGTTTGGATGAGAAAGCTTTCGCTGAGCAGGTACTTGAGTCTCCAGTGCCCAGACCGTGTAAAACTGATGATATAAATGCATAACTTGGTTTATTCAGAGACGAGGTAAAGAGAATTGTTGATAGGGTTGTTCCTCTTGTACTGGTGCTGCCTGGGCGCCATCATGTTGCACCGTGGTTTGATGATGATTGCAAGGCTTCAAAACGGAAATCTAGAAAAAAAGAAAGAATTTTTAGAAAGAGTCGTAAATTGTCTGATAAAAATGAATGGATATTGTCCCTTAAAGAAAAAACTGAAATTTACTCAAACGTAAAGTATATTGGAAGAAAGTTGTCAATGAAAACAGTAAAACTCCAAAAAGCTTGTGGAGGGTGGTTAATAAAATTTTTCTAAACAGTCACTGTGAAGGCACTAAACGCTAATTCATTGATCTCAATGCTGGCAAGTTCATGACTTTCTTTAATGAAAAAATTAAAGTGATAAAACAGGGGATTGACACTGGGAATCAGTCTTGTCTAAATAGTGATGATCATGGATGTCAGCAGTTGTTTTCGGCTTTTCGGGCGGTGTCTGAGGCTGATGTCTGGAAAGAAGTGCTTCATTCACCTACAAAGTCCTGTCAACTAGATATTTTACCAACGCGTTTCTTTAAAAAACATTTTGAATTGTTCTGTCCATTTATAACCAGTTTGATAAATCTGTGCATGAATATAGGTTGCTTCCCCACACCTTGTAAACATACAATTGTTGTGCCACTGTTGAAAAAAAGTGATGCAGATCCAGGTGACGTCAATAATTATCGACCAGTCAGTAATCTGTCATTTATATCAAAACTCATTGAAAGAATGGTGTCAAGATAATTACTTGCTCATTTGAATGATAATAATCTCATGCCTGCACATCAATCCGGTTTCAGACAACTTCACTCCGCTGAAACTGCCCTGCTACATGTTCTCTCAGGGGTTTATGCTGAGATGGATGCTCGAAATATTTCCTTGTTGACATTTTTTGACATGAAGCTCGGCTTTCGACTGTGTCAATCATGAAATGTTTCTGCTCAGGCTGCATCAAAGTTTTGGAATATCTGGGGAAATAATAATTTGGCTCAGAAGCTACTTGATTGGCCAAACACAGCAGGTTTCGTTCAACGGGAATTTGTCCTACGTCAGTGTGGTTCGCTTTGGTGAGCCGCAGGGATCTGTTTTGGGTCCTCTATTGTTTCTGCTTTATACATCTGATGTGTTGAAGATAATTGATTTCTATGATTTTAAAAGCCATACATATGCAGACGACATTCAAATTATGTTATCAGGTAAACCGAAGTTATTTCAAGACGAGATTACGAGATTCATTGAATGTATGTCGGAGGTTAATCTGTGGATGTCGAGGAATGAATTGAAGCTTAACCAGGGTAAAACAAAATTTTTTCCTATTGGTACCTGGCAGCAGTTGGCAGACTTGGATATAAATTCAGTTGTTATGAATGATAAAAAAATAGATTTCTGTAAAGCAGTGTCGAACCTAGGTTTTATAATTGATTCAAACCTAACAATAAAATCTCATTTTAAAAGGATCTCTATTTCATGCTTGGCACGCACAGATTAGAAGAATGAAACAAATTCGAGAATCACTTGATAAAGACGCAATGCAGACTCTGGCGCATGCGTTGGTGCACTCACGTATCGATTGTTGCAATAGTTTATTTTATGGACTCCCGGCTAGATCCATCAAAATTCTGCAATCGATACAAAACCGTACTGCCTGGATTGTGGCTGAATGTCGATTGGTACGATCATCCACACCGATCCTGATGATTTGCATTGGTTGCTCATAAATAAAAGAATTGTTTTTAAAATCTCTGTCACAGTTTTTAAATTACTAAATGGTCTGGCTCCAAAATATTTATCAGATAAACTGAAGTTAAAAACGTCGATCGCATCTGGTGTGCCTCTGAGGTCTGACGATTCGAACATTCTTGTGGTTCCTCATAGACAGCTAAAGATTGGATCGCGTGATTTTGCTGTGTCAGGGCCCCGTCGTATGGAACGGCCTGGAATGAACATTGCTGAA